GGGGGGGGGGGGAACGTGAGATAGCGTTTGCGGATCTCCTAATCGTCGCGCCCGTATCGGAGCGCCGCGTAATCATCGTCCCAGTGCTTGCCCGTTCGACCGGTGCGCGGGTTTAAACGGCAGGAGCATATCGCCGCTTATATAGAGGGATTCTCTCTCTTTCTCTCGATAAAACGTGAGAAACGTTAAAAAGAGCAGTTGGCGATCGCCCGAGAATAACTGCTGGAGAAATCGAGAGGTGCCGTGTCATCGAGACGCCCAGCGGACGACTGGATCAGGGTACCGAGTACTCCCCAGATGGCAGCCGTCTGTCATCGACTCGACGACCCCGCCGCGAAAGCCCGACGCATCAACGCCCTCGGGAATTCGCCAGAGAATAGCTCGGTGTCCTAATCGTCGCGCTGAGGTTGAATATAATCGCTTAATCAGTGCATGTCGAGTGGATTACTAAGTAAACCGGCATAGACAGACACACTCCGCGGGGGACATGCGTGTTTCGGCTGAAAAGCATTTTCCGAGGTACATGAAATTCCGCGCTGAAATTTCCGTGTGGTCGCGAGTACAGCACTTAAATGATACGAATATCAATTAATGTCGAAATTACAATTCGAATTTAATTATAAACGCTGTTTAATCAGAGCGATTGGGAATAGGAGCGATCGATTTAGCTTCGCTCTCACAGGACAGCTCGATGTGTCCGGTTTGACCGTTTGCAGAATTAATAATAAATAAGCTCGATTCAGTATGTGGAGGGATATGGCTTAATCGGCGTTGAATGCGCTGCTGAAATGCGCAGAATGTTATGAACCTTCGAAATGTAAGGGTAGGGGAAAAATGTTAACGGAGGTCACTTTGATACCAGTAGTTATCACTTCGAACTATACCGTATGTGAACTTTTTCAATCTTTTCATCTAGCCGTTAATAAAATGTTCTTACTCTCTAAATTTTTTGGAATGAAACCTCGCTTCAAACAAGTAAGAATTCACTAGTAGTAGATAGTAAAAATTCTGCCAGTCGGAATGGAGTGACATTTCATTTTCTACAAGAGTAAAGGTTTCGCTCCGAAAAGAATGAATTCTTTTAATTTGTATTCTTTGACACGTATTCTTTTTTATTATGTTGTTCTTAAGGTGCTATTAATGAGATTTTCTCTCAAAATCTTCTCAATTATATGCAATTTAATCGATTCTATTTATATTATATTTACTCGCCACTGGCCGGGTTTGAAATTCAGAACTGGAATCTTATATTTCTTATATCTCGCATTACGCCATCTCACCTTGTTTGATAAGCGAATTTCGTATTGTCTATAGTCCCGAACTCTAGAGGACCCCTCTTGATAAAGTGATTCGGTAGTCACTTTACTTTTCGAGTGGAACCTCGCGGTACACACAGTGAAGATATTCACTGCGCATCGTAGTGTGGAAAAATTCATTCTACAAGAGTGAGAAATCATTCCAACTCAAGTTACTCGGCTGTCACTTCATTCTTCGAGCGGAAATTTCACTATTATCTCACTGTTATTCGAGCGGAATTTCAAAGAAATTTAAAAAGTACGTTTCGAAGATATCCGGAAGATGGCGATGGTTATTATTTCACCCTGTGTGTATGATCCGTCCGTCATTGTTCTGACGTCGGTTTCAACCGCCAACCGGTCTATTCCCACAGCACTCACCTGGGGGACGCTTGTCAGCTGTGCGTTGAGTGGCATGGATTACGCGTTTTGTATGAATATTCGACGATCCTGCGAGGTCCCACGGACGCGAAAAGTAAACGCGCCAGCTGCGGAAGTTGCGCTCGTCTGCGAAACCTCCTGGAATTTTCGACCCTGACTACAGACGCGGACACGATTTCTCTCATTTCTCATTTCTCAACGTGAAAATGGGCTTTCTCATGTGATTCGTCAGTGTGTTGCAGCATCGAACCGTTTCCGAGCTACGAAAGACGAGATACGAGAATTCTTCCCGGACGCGCATCGTCGTACCCGATACATAAAAAGCAGCATTTTCTCATGCCGGTTCTATTATATGCCCGCGGCAAATTTACCGGATGCGAACGCAGTATCGGAGAAGACGTTCAGCGTGCACGTTACGCATTTGCGGCTGCGGCAAATCCGCAGCAAATCAATAACAATCCCTCGGGTATTGAAAGGCAAATCGCCGGATCACCGATGTCGAATCAGATCGTTACGAGCACGCTGGGAAATTACGGGGAAATCAGGAACTATGTCGCAGGGGGCAGGGGCGGCGAGTGGGAGAGGGCGACGACACGGATTGCGGCGCCCCCGTGAAGTTACAAGAGCCATAAGTCTTGACTGGTTTACGTAAAGTCCCGGAATGGCTGTAGGTCGTTGAGTGCTCGGTAAAACGCTCCCGGGAACTTGCCTGCGAAAATGCGGAAACTTCCACGCTACCGACACCAGTCTGTCGTATTCGTCGTCGTTGTCGTCGTCGTCGATGTCATCGTCGTCGTCGTTGACATCGTCGTCATTGGCGTTACGTCTGTAAGAGTGATCACGCACAGACACACATCCGCGGATTTCAGTGGCGCATCGGGACGGCAATTTCTCGTTGAGGGCGTCGTTAAACTAGGAAACGAGCAACTAAGGTGCGAGTCCGTCGAGCGTTAATTAGTTATCGAATTAGATCGATAACTCCCGGCGTATTCCGGTGGAATTGAGTTCCGGCAATTCCATTCGCTACTACGCCGCCGTTGCCGGCGCTACTGCGGCGGTATTACCCGCCGTCTGTATGGGGTTTCTAACGAACGAGAGCCGAAAACGCCGATAATGAGAGTACTTACCGAGATTGTAAACATTGGCCCCTTTCCCGCAGGACTCGCGCACTTCCCGATTATCCCAGCCTATCGGATACATCACCAGACCGCCGCATATCATCGCTGCTGTAACAAACAACGAAAGCGGCATGTCAATTATATAGCCACGCGAACGTGCGCTCGTCGAGAATCGTTTTTTGCTGAAGAGGGAGAATGAAATTGCTCGGCAGTGTAACGTACATGCCAAATTTATTTTCCAGACTTTCGACACACGTGTACTGTGCAGTAACGCTATACTGTACAGTAGCCACCTTTCATGTCGAACCGACCCTCTGTTCCGCGATTAATATCCTTAACCGGTTCAGAACGAGCGCACTATATTTAGTTACTCGGCTATTTCGAGGACGGATTTACATTTTTCAATGATTAAGGTATGGTATTAACATATTGATATATATCATGAGCCATTGCGGTGATATTTGTGATTTTAGGATCGCGTTCGCTTTTATCGGAAATTTGTCCTCTGTTCATTATCATTGCTGAGAAAAGATAAGAATTTCATTGAGAATAGAATAAAAGTAGCAGAGAAAAGAAAAAGATTTTCTGACTTTGGACTACAACTAATTGAAAATATCGTTGAAAAATATGGTCCGAAGCGGAAATCTGTAATTGGTGTACCTTGATTATCTGACTTTTTACGTTTTACAGCTTTCCTTTTCATATTGAAAAAGATGAAAATCACCCAACAAGTGAAAGAAAATATATTATTTATATTATTGGTGCGAACAAATAACGAATAAAATATCTAAATTCGAGTGGAAAGAATGTAACGTCAGTCTCTGTATCATTGATTGTTTTGAGATTTATCATACAAGAACCCATTTTACTATAACGAAATCATAATTTCGAATAAAAACTTTTATTTAAAAACTTCGCTCCGAAAGGGTTAAATATTAATTATTCTCCTGTAATTTCTCTTATAGAAAATTTTAGTAAGAGTTGCGAAAAATACAGCAAAAAATTATCGCGCTCAGCATCCAGTAATACTCTTATTAGCCTATCATTCTTACTATTTATTTATTTACCATCAGAGCCGATGTCTTTTTTGTTCCTTTTTTATTTGTCCGCTCATTTTTCAATAGTAAACCTTGCGACGAAATTGCTCGCTTCGTGAAGGTACAATTTTTACGAAGACGAAAAATTTTGTTTATCATTTTTTTAATAAGAATCGAACGGGACAAATTGTGAAAGTACAACTTTTACGGAAGACGGAAAAGTTTGTTGTTCACAATTTTTCTTTAATAAGTATCAGACGGGATTTTTTATGAGACAAGAGGACTGGTTGGGGATCTCGTCATCTCGATACCGCGTCAAATGTGTCCTCTCCCGGAGAATCAGTGCTGCTAGGAGATCCTCAACTCCTCGCTCGTCTCATCGCATCGATCATGTCGCATAGAGCTCCGCTCGCGAGCTCTGTCGTTTTTCGAGAGCGGCTCTCTGTTTCTCTCTCTCTCTCTCTCTCTCGAGCGTGCGGAAAGGAGCAAATCGAGAACAGCGGACTAACTTGAAGCGCGTAAATGGAATACGTCAATGCTGGAAGAAGGATGACGTCGCCGTGATATCTATTTTATTCGGGGACAGTTCATTATTTCGCGGCGCAAAATGGTGTCTCACCGGCCCGTTACCTTCGTCTCACATCAATTTGACGAACGGACGAACCGACGAACGAACGAATGAAGGAACGAACAGACGAGCGAACGCTCGTCATTTTTAAAGGCGCATAAGTCTAACGGTGCTCGATAAAAAGAACCTAAATCACACTTCATCTCCTCCAAGCGGACACGTAGAGGACATTTCTCTCTCTCGAAACGGCATTAACGGCACGTTAACGGTCAACGGCTCGTCGGCACACATCGTCGTCGTTCATTAACTTAATTCCAGATTATCGATAATGGCGCGCGACATCCTCGCCGTGAAACTTACCAGCGAGCAACTGCAAGGAGCCAAGGATCCTCGTGTGCTTCGGCGTCTTCAAGATGTGCGGCAAGAACGACGACGCCGCCGCCAAAAGCGTGAGGGCACCAATCACTGCGACCGCAACGCCGATGCCCATCGTGACCGTGCTCGCTTGCCACCAGGCGCTCGGTATATCCCAAAAGCTGCAACGAAACGAACAACATCACTCCGATCAATTCCTAAGCGTCGACCGGACAGTCACCCGCGACATGAATTAGATCGTAACTGTCGACATATAATCGAGCCATCGACATGTAGCACTGGACGAAGCACGCTGTAAAATTTCTCTGATCTTCCGTGTTGAAAAATCTAGAAAAGGAGAAGCAGCTGTTTCGGCACAGATTTCTCTTTTTACTCTCTTACCATTGACTGAATTTTGCCCAAAGAGAAAGGGAACAGTACCGTGTTCATAAAAGCTGGAAATATCCTCGCAATCTATAAATATGCATAACGTTGCACAAAACTGAAATTATATAATAAATAATAGAATAAATAATATAATAAATAATTATTAAATATAGTCTCTGCTTGATTATTATAAAATAATGAACTAAATAAATTAAAGGAAATGTGTAAAAGTAAAAGGAAATGCGTTCGAAATTTTTAAATACCTTATGGTCGCGATCTACATGAATCGCTACCACCCACTCGTTTTGTCTTTTATATTTTTCAACACATTTTCCCGGCTCCATGTTCCGTCCAGTATTATATGTCGATAAATCGAGCAGAGAAGGAAACGCGAAAATCGAATTTTTTTTCATTTTTGAGACGCAGTAAAGAGCGCTCGCGATTTTCGAAAATTGATCGAAGAACGTCGCATAGATATTATATTTATGATCACGCGGTACATTCAGCGCAATATATTGTGTGATATAATCACGATACACACTGAACCGGACAATTATTTGACCAAAAGAGAGTAGCGTTTCATTAGTAATAGCGGACAGACGAACGATTCGAATGAGACTAGAAACTTCAATCGGCGTGCAACGTGTTTATCGTTTAATTTAGTGAAATGATGATATTATACGCGCACTTGTACACTCGCGTTCTCCCTCCGCGTTAATCAATAACGAACACAATTCGTGCGACGAAATTAGTGCGAATTTATCGATCGCTACCTCAAGCAAAATGGACAGGCGTATATACGGTGGTATGTGTGTATATGTATATTTTAATCTAATTACATTCCGCTGTAATATTATTACAGGAACAAATTTAAGCGCAAAATTATATTGGATCACGGTAACGTACGTAACGAATTAAAATTTTGCTCGGTGAAATTCAGCAAAGTCCGGCTCGATCGTGCACCGCTCACAGAATTTTTTGCTTTGCTGAGCGAGCCCGAAAATTAGCGAAAATCACCACAGTTTTCCGTCGTTATTAACATTAACTTAACATTCACTGTATATTTGTATTTTTGCAAGGCACCAAAGCTTTGCCGCGCGATCTCCGCTGCGTAAACAATAAACAATCACATTAGATGCAAACGAACTTTATTCCACCGCAGCAATTCCGGGGAAAAAATGCAACGTTGAATATTCCAAACGAAGAATCGGCCCGCGTGAAATCGCTTCATGCCGAAAAACGAAAGGGTGACGCGGCAGGATATAGATACGGGCGGCATGTAACTATGCAGAATATTTTTCGTTCTATGCAAATATTTTTTTCACGGCAGATATCGCCGCGTAAAATATCGTATTATCTGTTTTCAGTTTTCCCGAAGTTTCGACTCGTTAAATATGACCAAATGCAATATTTTTCGCGGCACGCATTCTGACGTAAAATATTGTATAGTTTTCGACCTTCTGTGTCCCGGCGACAGAAAAAAATGGAATATCAATCGCGGTGAGCGTGTGCTGCACAGTTAAACGCTTCTCCGTCCCCCGTGCATTTTCGAAACTGTCGCCCCGATCTGCTGTAGTTGTATCGAGCGGCGCCAGCAGGTCAAATAGTTTTCATCGCTCTTCTCGCGCTGATAGTTCCGATTTATTATTTCGATCGTCGAAAATGCTCACCTCGAACATAATTAAACAGCAGTGAAAACAATCCAAAGTATCTGACGGCGCAACGTGCGAGTGGCAGTCGTTAAAAGAGAAGTGCGCGTCGGAGCGTTATCTCCTAACGACTTGCCGGAGGTGGTTCATTTTTTTCCCCAAGTTTTTTACCATACGATCGGTATCGATGATTTCCCGAGTTACAGTAACTCCACATCGAAAGGAGTAAACGTTTATGGGTCTATTGTGAGCGCAAATGGAACTATCGAGTTTTGCTGTTTTGTAGAGAGAGATCGAGAGAGGACCAGGGAGAAAGAGAGGGAGAAAGGGGGAGAGAGAGAGAGAGAGAGTAGCCCTGCTATTAGCACTTATCGTGCTCGTATCGCTTACACCAGCGGCTCACAGAGACACGTTTCACGTACGTACGATTACGCTATCGGCCGTGCTTAGGCCAATCGAGAAATCTGCTGTCCTGGTCCTGTCCGCTAGTTCTGAACATTAAGGGGCTCAAACAGGTGTAATCTCGGCGGCCGTGTACCTCGATGCGATAATAAACACGCGAAAATGATATTTCCGTGTCAGGGCACGACAATTGGCGTAATTTGTACATTTTCTACGTAAACGACATCAGCTCAAAGAATTTACTAAGAACCTTTTATTAATATCGAGATAGCGAAAAAGTAATAGGATATCTTGTATGACGTCAGAAGTTGCGCTCAGAAATACCTCGGTTGAATTTTCCCTCTCTCCCTCTCTCTCTTTCTCTCTTGGAAAACTGACCGAAACCGCAGCTGCGTACACGGTCTCGTTATATTCAATAGAGGGTGAATGAAATTCGACGAGTAAGTAAAACTTCGCTCGGCCGAGCGTGCATCGCGATGAAAAAGGAAGAGACGGGAGAGCAGCTTGGTCGGGTGGTACTGACACTCCGTGATGTTCCGACCTACACGCTGCACGACGTTGCACGAATTTGCGGAAATTAAATCAAAGGCGCATACACGACGCACGCTGGCGTGTATACACACACACATACACAGACGCGCAATCCTCTCGTGGTTTTTTTTTTTCGCACGAATGGAGCGCTAGTGAAATCTCGCATAAGAGAGTATATCGCAGATTTAATCTGCGAGTGACTCATTGTTAGAGCGCTCGTGTATTTGTCGCGCGATATTTTCGATGGAAGCGAAGAAACACGCGCCAGTTGTGCCGGTGAAACTTTCCGGCGCGATAGAAATTGCGCGCATTGGCCGACCGCGTGTTTTAATATAAATCGCTTTGCGTCGGTACCGTAATTACAATTCGTGGCGCGAAATGAAAGCCACGATCGGGCGTTTTCGACGCGCACAGAGACGAGGAGCTTCTTGAACGCGAATGTCGAATTTCGCTCTGCTCGGCGAATCGCTGCAGTTGGAAAATTGACTCGGAAATAAATACAGGGGGAAAAATTCCCGTCGGCCGTTGACGAGCGCTTTGCAAAATGCGCATCGACGCGCGGTATAGCGCGAGCGAGGACGCGAGCGCACGTTAACTTCATTTCCTATCGTTTCCCATCATTGTGCGCGCTGTCACGTACGAAAGCGCCGATTGTCGGAGGAATTTCCATAAAATTCCATACACTTCTGACATCGTCAATGTACGCGAGGGGGGGCTAGGCCAACTATCGCGCGCGCCTCTGCACATTACGACCCGCGATAGGAGCCGCAGCCGAGCAAAGCTCTCGCTCGCGTGAAAAGTGACTGACGCTGATTCAAACGAAAACAAAGCGGAGATAAATTATTTTTGCGACCGCAACGAATTGCAAATCGCGCGTGTGCGCCAAGCACGTTGGACGCGCAGACGGACGAATAGATGGATGGGCGGATTAACGAGTGCGCGAAGAGACAGTTGAAAGAGAGGGACGCGAATTCTCCGCTGTACTTTATAAAAATATACTTTAATAAAAAGTAAGCAAAAAGTAATGTAAGGAACAGAAAAAGTAAAAGGAAATACTTTAATGATAAATATGTTTTAGGAATCGTTCAATAATCACGAGGGGGCATTAGCTTGCATGACGGCCGTAATGGAAGAGAGGAAGGGGAATAAAAGCCATAGAACGTCACATTAAGTCCTCAGCAAAGAATGTTTATTTCGTGCCGGATATACAGAAATCAAGTAACATAATGTGAGGCAGGTGGGAGAGCAGTAATTCCACATGTCACGTAATATTGTAAGATCCAAATACTTTGTGACAAAATTTGATGAGGGGGCAGAGGAATACTCAAATTTCGCCTGACATAAATGGCCCCTTTAATAAAGTGTTTTCGCGAATTGCATGTAATTCTCGTTAAACAAGATCTTTCAATCCTGACAATACCTCTCGCAATGTATAAATAACCAAATAATTAATAGCAAATAAATAAATAAATAAACTAAGAAATAAATTAATAAATATGACCGAATGTAAATTCTTGTTGGCAAAATTTTCGATGCGGCAGCGGCGTTGTATCATTTCTCGCGCAAAACTTTGCGCGTTCTGCGTGTATTCTTTCGACCGTCGAATTCTCCTCGGCGTTCGTACGCGGTGGGGATGGCCCGGCGTGCTTGTAGTCGATAACGACCGGTAATTCGGATATGGAACGACCCAATTCTCGTTTTTAACGCCGCACGACCGACCCGGAGCGGTGCAAGGGTCACGTGAGGTTACGCGGATTCGACGCGCATCATTTCGCCGCGGATAGGATACGCGCGGTATACGAAAAACACGTCATTCGCAAATACCTTAATACCTTTTGCGCTCGAAGCGGCATCGGCACCGATTCGATTAATCTCGCGCCTGCGAACGCGTGCGCCCCCGTCGTCGTTACGGTAATTGTTATTATTCCCGTTGCCGTATTAGCGCTACCGCTGCCGCCGCATCGTAAACATCGCAAACAAGAATTCACTCTCCGGCTGATTTACTGGTATTAACTTATTGATATTATCGGAATATAGATCTTGACATGTGTTTAATTGGCATTAGGCACACCGAAAGAAAAAAATGCCACGTCGAAATGAATATTTCTAAAGAATATTGGAGTGATTAATTTACTTGAATTAAAGAAATATTACGTGAATACGATACATCGAAAGAAAAGTGCTATACTCAAGTAATATTTACTTAATCCAGATAAAGTAATTATTCCAATATCCTTTAGCAAATATTTATTCAGATGTAACACTTTTCTTTCCGTACAAAATTTGCATAAACCGTTCGGTGTTCAAAAACATTGTGAAAAGAAATGAACGGAACGAGCGTGTCGTGCAAATCCTCCTTGAGAATTCTGGCAATTACGTTGATCGTGCGAACCATCAACACTCAACCCTATTATTATCGCGAGTTCTCGAAAGTTTCGCAAAAGGGCGCACAGTGACTGAATCCTCGCGTTAATAAGTGCACGATATCTCTTCTATTAAACTTTCCAAGCATATTCGAGTCTTTTCTGACCGCAGGTCCTTAAGAAATTTTAAACTTGATGAAAACGCCGCTTTTCTCGCAGCGCTCTTGTATCTTATAATAAACATTTTATTCATTAAAACGCCAGAATGTTAAAGATCAAAGGTTCTATTATTTGAAAGTACTGATAATACTTTGTTATTACAAGAATTTGTTTAACGACGCTTAGATCGGAAGAGACGCGGACACGGGTTAGAAGGTTACGCGAAGCCGTCCGAAAATCGAGATTCGCTTCTCGCTCGGTGAACTTACGAAATTTTCCGTTTAATTTCATTCTTTCGCATTCTACGCGTACGGAGGGGGAAGAAGAGCCGTTCTTCTGCGCGGGGTTCCCCGTTTTCATAATTCCCTTTGTTAACTGTGCTTTAGTCTCTCAGTGCCGCGGGGCACCACGATTTTTACGAGCGCGCCCAACGACCGCACAGACTCCAGCGCGTATATAGAGCTCGTGAGGAAAGTTTTTATAGCTCAGTGTTCCATTTTGTCGGGCACATGAGCGAGCGAGCGAGTGTCCGCGATTCGTCGCGCGAGTGTGTTCGTGTCGCGCGAATTATTCCGGCCGCGCGACACGAATTATACAAGCACTTGAGCCCAAACTCAAATTATTCCGATTCATGTTCCGAACTCAAATTAACTCGTCCATTGTCGAATTTTAAATATCGCGTCCGGATTCGCCTTCATCCTGTTTGCCGACCCCCCCCCCCCCCCGCATTCCGCGCTTGTCCCGCGCGGGATACATCCGAAAAATCTTTCCGTCGCTCGCGGAATGCGATTTTGCGCGCGCTGTAACTCGAACGTCGATAATTCCACGACGTATCCGTATTCCCGTCGAACCTCGGATTCTCAATTATAGATTCGTTACGTTTGCGTGTCGGGTATATACGACATATATGCATTATTATACGTCAAACGGATAAAGCTCATCGCAATAAAGAACGCGTCCGCCATAATTCCGAGCTAAAGCGCCGGCGAATCGCGAATGCCTCATCGCGTGCTTGTCGCTCGCCGAATTTCTCGCGCGTTTTTGCCAGCCGCGTTGCTCTGACGTAATTTTTCCTTTCAATCGGCTGCGAGAATTCGCGTGTCGCGCGCGTGCCGTAATCTCGATCGTCCGGAGAAATATATTTTCCGAAATTGCGCAATTCGATCGGGAGTTGGGAAAATTAAAGGCACGCTCGAGGAAACGAATGAAGGAGAGCGAAAGAGGAAGAGAGAGAGAGAGAGAAAGAGCGTTTGTACCGCCCTCCTCCGATCCAATGAGGCAATTGTTCTCATTTTACGCGATCTGCACAGTAATTCGCGAGAGTGACTGAGCAAATTTGCAAACGACCGTTCCTTAAAATCTCTCACAATCTGCTCTCTCTCTCTCTCTCTCTCTGCCTCTTGCGAAAGAGAGAGGGAAAGAGAGGGAGAAACGGCGACGCTTCGTCTTTCCTCGCAGCGAGGAACGTAAAACGCTTTTGCAGCCGCCACCGCCGCTTTGGCACGGGAATACATTAATGCGGGAATACGTACCTGGAGTACCTCGCGCACTCGTAAACTATCTCAGGCGTGGTGTTAGGTGCTCTGATCCGCGGGTAGTTGCAACGCCGAAAGGAACTGAAATACGCGTCCGCCTTCCCCAGCAGTCGTCCCTGAAACACAAAACAAGGCCGCGGAAACGCGACTGTTACGCCGCTGCGTTTTAGCGTCCCTTCGCCCGGCCCCCGTTATCGCAGAGTTCTCAGCCGTTAACGATAACGTCAGGCCTGGCTGGCGCTTGGAAAGGGCTCGTTAACTTTAAACTTGGCAAAATCGAGGGAGAAGACCCGAAATTGCCTGATAAAAAATTTAACGGGACCGGAACGCGAAGCGCTCGCGTAAATATCGCGCGGAATTTACGGATTTCCGCCGGAAGACGGAAGGCTCCTGCCCCTCGGCTTGCCGCCGGCGAGACGATGTTATTCTCGCGGCGTATAATCGAGGGAGAAATAAATCGGCAGGTGCGAATAAGCGAACAAGACGGTAAACCGCGATGGTAAACACTCGCAGCGTCGATGCGCTCCTCTTCTAAACGCCCCGGCTCGTTCCTGGCGCGAAAATCCTTGCCGGTCGATCGAGCAACGTCTGGGCGCGAGAGACGAAACACTTATGCATTCTATTCATTTATGCGACGCGATGGCACGCGAAGGCGACGAGGAGAGCTCTCCTTTTTTTCTTTCTCTCTTTCTCTCTCTCTCTCTGCCTTTCTCTCCGCGGCCCTGCAAGCCGATTTTCAAGACGACGTCAAAGAAACGGAAAAAATCTCGCTATTCTGTCTGAAAGTTTTCGATCGCTTCTCTTAATACGGAAAAAATATAACGCGACCGTCTGGCGGAGAAGAAGGTCGTAATAAGCTTGCTCGTCGTTTGCCAAATGCCGTCTACCACCCTTTCACTCTTCCCCGTTCTCTTCCCACTAAGCCGTAGTTCCTCGCCTCGTTTGTTTTTATTAACAAACCGTAATAAAAGTCCTCGGCCGAACGTAAAATTCAAACAGCGCGATTTCACAAAAAGGCTTTCAGCTTCGGGCAGAAAATATTGGCGACAGATATAAATCCAATATTTTTATATAAATTTAATACATAAAACACACAGACACGTACATTTAATTAACGAAAGTTCGGAAAGATTTATGTAAACATTTTTTTCACTTTTTTTTTTTTATTATTCTTTCCACGTAACAAAGTTCTATTTTGTTTTGTTATGATAAAATGGATTAGCGATGGTTCGGCTCATCAAACGGGACTCGGACAATTATTCACGTGTCGTTGATGGTTTAATATATATAAGTGGTTTAATATATATATATATTAATTGTATGAAGCGTATAAAAAATTTAATCATCATAAATTTCCGCGATACTTCGCCGGAGCCGTGGGAAAAACACGTCGTAAAATGCAGAAATCGTTCATTATCAACCCGCACCTTCGACAAAGTTAAGGCAACCGGAGCAATAAGGGACGTTAGCGGCGGAAATCGCGTAAGGCGGAGTAATTGGTTTTAAGGGGAGAGAAGCGCCGTCCATTAATTAAACCGATGAAACGCCTTGGATAACAAGACTCGTCTCGCAACAAGCCTCCCCTTATATAAACTCAGATTCTTCCGGAGATGCGCGAGTAGCGCGAACTGATACATCGTTAATTCTAAACAGCACAAAGAAGCTTTCAGAGAGAGAGAGAGAGGGGGGACACGAAATATCTGCGATCTGTATTAAAATACGAAAGAAGATAGCGTTGTCTCACTACGGTACATAGCGGGGAGAAAGGTTTTATAAGAGGCCACACGAAGTTGGACTCCTCGTTGGTGTCGCGGGGATGAAGGCGGACTCGGAGCAAAAACGGAGTCGCGGAGCCGCGACGTTTAATTGAAAAACGGAAGTTTATTTTTCGAGAGCGCTCTCGCCCGTAGCGCCAGAGAATACGAACAATTTGGCCACGAGCGGGGACTTCGTTTGCAAACTGCTTTGAATGTGCGACAACATCGGGGCCTCGACTAAAGGCGAGTAGTTGAGCGCGCGCGCACAAGTACGAAGTTACCCCGTCGACGATATTCGCCTCATCAACTTGCCGCTTCCAAGTTGCAGTGCCCAGAGCATTCTTGTCTCGCTCAAGAATCTTGCACGCCTAACGAACGTCTCGGTGAGGTTTCGAGGGTCGAAATTTTGTCTAGCGTCGAAGTCAGTCGGGGCGGAGACTTCGTTACATTCGTTACATCCAACACACGATGCCCGCTATAATTGGATTGAAGTTCTCCGATTGTCCGAGTTAAGATTGATCCCCATACCTATGTAAACGGTAGCAGACAAGTACCCGTCAATCCTGATCAATTGAAACACTTTTCAATGTTTTTGTATCAAGGTGACAATGATACTGTGAATCTTCCAGCGCAAAAACATGCGGAAGAATATTCAGACGTAGGGTTGACGGGCTACTGTCTGCCGTTGTCTAGATGAATAGTGAGAATTAATCTTTATATCTCACGTCGATGATGTGAACATCAGTCGCATAATTGTCATTATTATTATTTAACACGTCACCCATATCCGGCTGACGCTCCAACGTTTTTCGCAAAAGTCTGATTACCCGGCGCAATTTCGCTTCACGTCGCATTGCATCCTGATGTGCGCGGCGTATCCCTGGAAAAGTCGCGTTGGTACCGACGGTTTTGACTTTGTCTTCTCGTCGCGTTTGTCATAGCGAAGATGTTTTCGTCGACAATGGCGTCTCCTCCTCATATTTTTATTATAACCCGACTCTCTCATTTTATCTTCCTCGCGACTTCAAGCCAAGCTCTCCGCGATTAAGTTACAATCGACGTAACGAAAACCGGCTTTAAGATACGCGCGCGTATGGCGGCAAGTAATGTTGCAGTTTCGTTATTTCACTCGTCGTTCAGAACCGGAGAATCCGATTACTATCGCGCCGCTACTCCGCGATCCATCTTGTCGGACCGGACGGGGCTCGTTCGATTTCTCACGTTTTCCGCCATTCCCACCCTCTCTCCTTGTTTCCGCGACTTTTTCGATTTTCTTATTTCCAAGTTGCTCTCTTAGCCGGTTACTTTTTCCGCGCTGCTTCGCTACGCTTCTCTTCGTCCCGCGGTCTCCTTGGTGTCTCACTTTACATCGGGTGCACGAACAAACCAATGCGAAAATGAAACGTAAATAGCACACGCGAGTACGTGAGCGCAGTGGTAAGCATATTCCGGGATAACGTTATGACCTTATCTCGAAGTTACGCATTGCGCGAACGCAGAGCTTTCGAACAAAAATTCGTTAACTTCTCCGTTTCCGGAATGAGGTGAGAGGAAGTGAGTCTCATGTGTCTCTGATTCCCCGTCGCTTCATTCAGAATACATCGATACGCGTATAATCGGATTACACTTAATTACACGCGGCAGGAATCAAGAATTAATGGGAACGGACATCGGAGGACTTTCGCCGTTGATCGTGGCTCCGAAATTCGACCTCGGCGAGTCTTGAAATTCGAGTTCGCGAGTCTTGCTCGTTCGGTTCTCCTAGCTCGAGAGAGAGAGAGAGAGTAAGAGAGAAGAAAAGAGAGTAATAAATGTGCCGCCACTCGAACGTGACTCAAACGCACACTCGAAGGCAGTTAAAAATAACGCGATGAAAGTGTTACACGACGCGCATTTTCTCACGAGCTGCGATCTCAACACTTGGACGGCTGCACTTATTTTGGCAAAAATTTTCCAATCGCCTCCGACAGACTTTGAGAACTTGTTTCGACGGTATTTAAATAAACATTCTCCTTGCACACATACACAGACAGAAAAAATATCTGGAAAAAAAATATATATTTATTCGGTGAACATGTTTACTTAAATCTCTCTCTGTGAATTCTTTTATTTAAATAGAATAAACAATTGTTTTCATGAAAAACTACGGGTTTGAGATGTACGCTTTCTCGATTGAAAAAATCCTCTCCTCACCGGTATGTAAAAATATCTGTATTATAGAGTAACTCCGGTATATACGCAGCATCTGAGGAAATATGTTATTAACATCTATCGAATAAATATTTGGTATCTCTCAGATCTTTCCTCCCAACGCATAAATCCGTACATTTCGTTTACATTCGGTAGCTCACACGCATATATTACATAGGAGCTTGATATAACCCCTATAATATTACAATCGGGAATTTTCGTTATGGAGAAATATTTCTTTAAAACACAACAGCTGAAGCAAAATGAAGTTACGTGGCAGCGTGGCAAAGTGTTAATGCAAACGCATCGCATGCATCCGCGAAGATGCATCCGCGAAGAATCAACAATCATCGTTTCATACACTGATTTTGCTCGTGTCTTACATCGCAATCGCGAAATATTCTCCGACACGTCGTACAGGCCCGCGAGATAACCGATAGCGATATCAAGTTCGCTCTATAGACCAAGTACGCAAATTTCGGTTTTATCGAGGCGCCCGTTAAATCGCTCCGCGCTCGTAGCCGGAGAAATTGTTGGAGTCGTCAAAGTCACCGATACGAGGGCGCCCTTCGACGATAAGAGAAGCCGTACGCGGGGAACGACTTCCTCCCCGTATCTTCCACGCGCTCGCATATATACGTACGTACGTGCGTGCATGAAAACGCGTGCACGCGCATGAAAGAGAGTCCGGAACGCGCAAACTATGATCGTACGAAATCCAGTATGACCTTTCGTCGAAGTTGCACGTATGCGAGAATGACGTCGTGCTAGTTTCCACATGGAGATAGGGCGTATAAGGAAGAAGAGAGTCTCGCAGCGTCGGACGACGAAGTTAGACGCACCCGATAAGCAGAATTTTCCAAGTTGCCACTTGTCGGTCGAAAGTTATCGGTCGTTTCGTACTCGTGCGACTCGCGCCAGTCATGCGACAAATAGAACCGTGCGTTCGCGCGCACTCTCGGTGCTTGTTGCCAAATCAGCCTGTGCTCTTGAGTCGCGCAAAACGTCGGACTAATCCCTTCGTGTGATTCAACGAGTCGCTCGAATTTATCGATGCCCTTTATCGGCCCATTAACGTTATACATTAGCGACCATCAAACATCGAAGCGCCATATGTATCGTGATTCGTGAGCAATTGAGATATTGATTCGATTATGAAATATTTCGTGGTAATATTTGCGTAGGGGAAAAAGCAAACAAACAACGAACGAGCGAACGAACGGACTGATGAAAAGTGGAAACGAGGATCTTTCCTTGGTCGCCTATCAGCTATCTTGTTAATTCTAGTAAACTCGAGAGCACTTGACTGCTGGAACGCTAAAAAATGACTCATGAAAGAGGCACTTACTGAGGAGTGACTTAATATCGGGTTGCTCCTCCGCCTGACGAAGTGAACTGAAATGTTCGCGAGACGTTCTTTCATAAAACATTTCGGTTCGGTAAACAAACCGACAGGGAAGCCGACTCCGACCCGGAAGCCTTAATTGTTTACTTAATTACTCACGACTAACTATCATTAATTCTAATAGACTGGAGAAAAATCGTTCGACTACTCAAACGTTAGAAAATGATTCATGAAACACCTATTGAGAAAGGACTTAATATCGGGTTGCTCCTCCGCATGACGAAGTGAATTGAAATGTCCGCGAAACATTCTTTTGGCAAAACACTTAACTTCGGGAAACGGATCTGCAAGAAACGCGACGCCGACTCGGAAACCGAGCCCGGCGTTCCTCCGCGCCGCGGGAGTATCGGATATATCAGAAAATGATCTCGCTTTGGGGAAGCGTAACAAAGAGCTTTCGGGGGACGCGCGAGCGCATTTCGTTCATCTGCATCGCTTTCGCGGAGCGATCGTTTACCTGGATCCAGTAGGGCAGGTAAAAACCGGAGCACGCCAGGATCGAGGCCACGGTGGACAGAGTAGCCCACAGCACGCACAGCACTGTCATCTCATCGGTTTAGGAGCGTCCGCCTCTCTCCCTCACATACCGCTCCTCATCCTCCATCCGTGCGTAACCGCGTAGGGGGTCGATCCTCTTCCGCGCGCGGCTCCGGTTGCCAGGTTGTCTCGCGAACTTCGACGCGCCCACGACGAAGATGCACGACGGACCGACGACGAGCCGGGGCTTTCCTCCCCCGCGCCGCGATATATCCCTCGACGGCCGAGCGGGGACCAGTCGCGCTCCCGACAACGCTCGGTGGTTCGCACCCTCGGGCACTCCCCGCCGCTGTGAAATCGCGCTCTCTTTACATCATGGCTGGCAAAAGGCGGCGATCGATCGTTGCGAGTGACATTTATTAGGCTATTGATGCTCCTATCGCAGCCCGTTCGGCTCTCTCCCGCGTTAATTCCCGATCGATCGACGTCCTAATCACGGATCACGCGTAGCCCTCGAGTTCAACCTCGAGTGCCGCTGATCGCTCGCTCGCTCGGTCGCCCTTCCTCGTTGTAGCCACGTTCGTTTCTCTCGTCAATCCGGTTGACTCAACGAGATCACACTCCGCGTTCCCGATTGAAACGAGACCGCGCTCGACGTAGCGCCCGGGCGCCTCTTCGAGTGAGTCACGCGGTTAAATCTAATTCCTGCTTTGCGCGACGACAGAGAGAGAGAGAGAGAAAGAGGGGAGGAGGGGGGACAGATTCGCGCGCGCCGCTTGAGAACTGGATATCGCGCGACCGATTTCCGGCCGTTTCGTCAGCACGTGTACACGGGAAGACCCAGAGAGTTACTGCGTAATTGGCTCACACTCTCACTGTACGGAGCAGCTCCGTCTTCACACACTCGGTAACTCCCTGCGACGAGACTCAGGAAGTTTTTTATTATTCGGCGGACCTCACTTCGCTCTCCAGCGTGCTTCGCCCGATAATCCCTCTCTGATGAGTACACCCCGGAAGATTACCTCCCGGGGCGATTTCCTCGAGATGGTACACGGCGGCTTCGTCGAGGGATCGCCGCGGTTTCCCTAGCGGGGCCGATTCGTCGAGTCCGCGACCCGACGACCCCACATCCCCGTTCGCACTTTTTCTCGCGTCGCGTGGCGGTTTCACCGATCAGCTCCCCGCCTCCTTCTCTCTCTCTCTCTCTTTTCCCAGCCGTCGAGAGTCGCTCGCAGCCTCTCGGCTGAATTTCTCGTAGAAACGGTAGCTCGTTTCTCTTCCAGACGCGTCCTCCGCGGTTAATTATAGACCCGACCACCACACGCCGTGTAGCAGTGACTGCCCACGCTGCTCCCGCGCCTCTCTCTCTCTCTCTCTCTCTTCGGCGTCCTCGATAAGAATTCGCACGTCGTACCACCAAGGCGATTCGTTTCCGACCGAAGTACCGCACTCACGTACGCGCCACCGAGGGTATCGAGGATCGAAATTGCGAGGAGAGACAGAAAAGGACGCCGAGTCCCCCCACGACCACTTGGTCCCTCCGTCTGTCCACTGGACGACGTCCGGTCGAAATTTAATTTCAACCGGACACACACACTCTTTTTCTTTCTTTCTTCCTCTCTCTCTCTGTCGAGCAACCCTTACGGCCGCAATCCTTATTGAACGAACACGCGACCGAAGGCGAAGAAGAAGATGAAGCGGGAGAACGAGGAAAGTGGACGGTGCGCGAGGGTGTCCGACGTCGACGTCGTCGTCGTCGTCGCGCACGGCGCCGCTTCGTGGCTGCGACTGAACGGTTCCGTTCTCCACTCGGAGCGCTTTCCTCCTCCCCGCTCTCTCCTCTCCGTCGCGCCTGGTCGCGACGCGACCGCACTGTGGGACGTAGAGCGCCGCGACGCAGCATCCCGCCGCTCGCCCATCTGGCGAGCACTCGCGCGCGAACGAGCGAGCGGGGATGAACGCTGGTACCGCGTGCGCGCGTGTACGCACGTCAGGAGCGACGCGACGTGTGCGTGCGCAACATAACACGTGTACGAATCACTGCCGAGTGGACCTTTTTGTTAATAGAGATGGAATAATCGCGGGCCACGTACCGATAATCGCCTTCGTCAGAACTCGCCGGCGCGAGATAAATATGCCATGATAAGGGCGGAAGTTTGACCTCGTTCCTCGCCCCGTGTGCCTAGGTGACTGACTCACGAGGCCTCGGGTTCGATCAGTCTATCAGTCAGTCAGTGTTCAAGCGTGTTTTTCAAATGTGATATAGCATTAAATCTTTGATTATAGAATAGTATGAACTGTCAGAGTATTCCATTTCTCCCCGCTCAATGCTGTGCTTGACCTTAGCCTGAAGTTAGCTATTAGCAGTTCATACTTCTATATTCAAAGCATTAAATCAAATAAATGGCAAAATTTCCGACAGAATCAGCATATTATTAACATCCTTAAAAATAGCTTCTATTAAAAAAAAATAACACATTTCTAGTCGGAAATGTTAATATGATTTTCGTATGATTTAGCTAATTTGTTCTCGCTATAACGCCTAAATTCCAACTGCTAATAAATTTAGCTACGGTAGCAACGACATTAGCTGTCCCTACTTCAAACACACCTCTTAGCTGCCATAATTAGATTTTAGCTCCGACAGCTAATTTTTTTCTTTAAATGTAGGAGGTGGAAGAGGAGGAGTCGTCTCACGAGTGATTTCGCCGTTCGTTTCTCGTCACTTGTCATCACCATCGTGACTCCCGTCAACGGGAATCCCCAAACGAATGGCTGTTATTTTGGTATTAATCATTTAAATTTTTGGCACACACGGCACGTCAATCGATAGGACGGACTCTAACGGGGTCCCCGGTGTATCAGTTTAGGGATGAAGGGCTCGACGCTTCAGTTGTCATGCGCTAGGCTAAAATAATTGAGGGCTTATACTATCTATATGCTATCGCCTCCGTTATTCGTTAATTTTCTCACGAAGTATCGATTGACGGCATAAGACCCTCCGACTATTTTTGTCCGCCGCACTTGTACGGGCTCTTGTAATTTTATTCGGAATTGTAGAAATGCTTCTGTCGCACGAATTCCATCCAGAGTTAGACGCGCGGATGCGCTTGCTGAAATACGTGAAAAATAGATCGGCAGTGAGGATATTGCTCTTGTCCTTTGTAGCTGAATTTCCGCTGGCCCGGACTGGAAATAATAATAATATCAACTTTCGTTCTCGGACGAGAAGCGCTCGCTTTGTATTCTCTTCTTTTTCGGCAAATATTCTCCAACTCTCGAGGCGCGGAGATGCTAATGAAATCGCGTGTGCTCCAATTCCGTGTATATTGATTTGAGGCGTTAATGCTGCATCGCTCTTCCGCCACTAAGCTCCCCCGGACCGCAGTTGAGGACGCGTGTGACCCTACCCCACGCATCGGGTCTCTGGAAATTCGAGAATCTCTCACAAGCGTAATGACAAAAGTCGAAACCCCCGGAACGCTGAAAATATTTCATTTCAACTTCGCTCGGAGGCTCCTTCGTATTTTCGACACCTTTTCTCATATTACCGCGAGATGTATCTTCTTCTAGGGCTTAAGCAGTATAGCCCACCTCTTTAGCTTTCCCCATAATTTCTGGATAAAAGACAACAGCTTCGGGCCAATGCGGCAAGGCATATAATTATACATACACAATAAATTATAAACTCAGAGCGAAGTACATTATTGAAAAACACCATAAGTAACACTAAATATACTTCTAAAGGAGCAATTTTTTAAGTAAAGAAGCAACTGCAGAAATTCTGATTTCGTTAGAAAATGAATAGCGGATACATTATGGCAGTGTGATATGCAAAGTGCATATATGTACACTGTTAGAAAAATGTCATAATTTGATGAAAGATATTTGAAGAGTTTGGTACATTATATTATTATTACTAACATACCCCCTTTCCGCCGTCCTTTCTCGAGAAAGACCCTTGCCGATTTCTGGATAGGCGGGGAAATTGAGATGGCAACCCCGAGACATGACGATGGTTCAGTTATGAAATTGAAGATTCCGAAGGAATTCGTATTCTCCCATAGAATTCGAACTGAGAATGAAGCTCCGCCGCCCCGAAAGAGTGTCAAAGGGACAAATTATCCGAGTGTACTCTACAAAGAGTAATTTTTCATTTCAAATATGAAGCCTCCGCGGGCCCCCCGTATGAGTTTCCGCTGTGCATTTCCGAGCGTTCGTCGGCAAATCCACATTGTTGCTCCAGCTCGCTCTCTTCTGCGTTCGTCGCAGTACCTCGTTAACATTTCCATCATCCATCATGAACATAGGGGATGCTTTCGTTCATTATCACCGAGCGTAATCGCGACGGCTGGCTATTGAGGACATATCGTGAATGGCCCGTTTGGCAGCGCTATCAGTCACATTAGGAAAATGAACCGCCGGTTTCTTTTTTTCCTTCACCCGCGCGCGCTCCGGTGTCGTCGCACGGACGAAAATACGAAAAAGTGACGAGCGAGCGAGCCGGGAAATAAGAGCGACATCGAGACGGGAGAACGCGCGAGAATGGAAAAAAACAGACGACGACGAGGACGAGGACGACTTGCGAAAAGCGGTAGCGCTCTGTAAGGTTTCATTTCGTCCAGGACGAAATGAAACTTTGTATTCCGCTAAAGGATACGAAAGGCGTTTGCAGCCACCCTTCGCCCATCACCCAGTTCATTCGCGCGCACGTGTGCGCGAATGAAGCTGCATCGAGCCGAGCGGACTCGAGGTCGAGGCGAGGCGAGGTGAACCCGGCTGACACGCTGGTTAGAGCGTTAGAGGAGACCCTCTCTCGGACCGTAAAGTCTCATTTCGGTGTAAATTTCATCGAGTTTTATTGCCGACGGTCCAATGCGCGCCGCCGCGAAATCTCGTTTGCGTAAGCATATTTTTATGCGCCTTTACCGCCGGTCGCGCCCGTTATGCACATTACCGCGCGTAACGTCGCGATAATAATTTTCATCGCGCCCATTTTTGAGAGAGGGACGGGGGTAGAGTGAGACGACGTCGCTCGTTTAACTATCGCGTCGCGCGTTCGGAATTTCTCTCACCCTGTGTATATCACGAGGTGCGCAGCTACTTTCGACGAACGTTCGCGAGAGCAACGCCTTTCAGGGAATCGTCAAAGGAGGGTCCGAAAAGAAGCGATGAATGCGGCGAAGTTCTGAAAACGGTGAGCGAACTCCTCTCTCTCTCTCTCCTTCTCGCTCTCATGCTTTTCCTTTCTCCCCTTACTGCTTTCGATATCGTCGCATAGCGCCCGAGCGTTCCGTCGTCGAGCGAGCGACGGGAAAAGCGCTATCCCTTCAAACAGATTATGAGTCTCGGATTTATTTTTACGACCGGTCGGATCCGGCGCACTCGTCTTGCGTCGAGCTAGAAGGCGAAGGAAGAAAGAGGTAGAAAGAAGGGGGAAGAAAAAGCGCGCTGATACTCGCTTGATTCGACGGCGGTGCTTCGAGTCACGACACCGTGAAACGTATAGCGCGCGTATCATAGAAAGCAATGGGAGCGAAAATAATCATCGTTCGAAACGAACGGCGGAATCGCCATTGGATTATCTTTGCCATCGCCCTCCGATGTGACGAAGGAGCGTCGCCGCGCGTGAATCGACCCTTCCGCGCACCGTAAGCACCGAGGACAGGCGGCTGATCACGCCGCGAAATTAAGATACAGACCGCTACTGTACCTCCATATCCGCACCCTTATATGTCTCTCTCTCTCTCTCTCTCTCTCTATCTCTATCTCCCGTTCTATTCACTCGGGTAATGAGCTTCCTTCCGCTCGCTACGTCGTCGCAATGTGCGCCAACCCTGCCAGCGCCGTGGAGATGCGCGTGTGCACGAGAAATAATAATAGGCCGTTACCGGGCTGAATGCGCGCTCCTGTGGCGAATTATGTATCGTAGGGATCAAAGACAAGCGGGCCGTTTTTTAAGAAACATGATTTATCGGATAGCGGCGTCGCTTCCGGCTGTTACGGTACGATGCGTCAAACGGGTCGCCCCAGGCGGATCGTCGTCTCTCGCGATAAGAAAGATTTCACAGACGGATATCGAGGATGGGATATCTACCCGCTTACCCCCCCCCCCATCTACCTAGCTAGCTACCTCAACCTACGTAGCCATCTACCTCTTCGCGCTGACCGTGGCTGGATCAAGAAAAGAGTCTTATCTCTCGGAGCGGCCGCGTGGCTGCTGAATAAATACGGTCGATTCGACCTGCCAGCGATGAACTTTGTGATTCGCTTGGCCAGCACCAGCGGAGCTGAGACGCCGCAAAACGCCGGTGCGGGAATCGCGGGGAAACTGCGAGCAGCGACCGGGCGGGATGAGCGGGAGAGTGCGAAAATATATCGGCGAATGAGTGTTCGCGGGGATCGAATGGATTAAATTCTCATCGCGGGAGCGTTTACGGGAAGCAAGCTTGGCAACGGGCGTTTTGAATTTATGGATATATTAAAACAGTTATGTACGGCAAGCAGGGGAACATCGGTGTTTTTGTTATGTAATATTCATACGAAATAAATACAAATTCGCGTTCACGCTGCACACGCAATTGCAGAGAGACGATTTGCAAAGCGACGAGCCGCAACGCAGCCGACTATAAGTCGTGTGAAAAAATCGGTTATGCAAAAAGAGAATATGTATGTATAACATAGAAAAAGTTTCTTGCTTTCCTCTCTTTTGTGCATGCACGACAAATGAGCGTGCCCCCTCTTGCCCGCCCCTCCCGCTCAGTCGAATTAATCGTTCCGCCGG